TTTACTTTCTAGAAAAAAGTCTATGGAAAAAAGTATCCTCTATCCTTATTTAATTATTAATTGTTTTTAATCTATCGAGTAGTCATGGTCGACTTAATTATTTTGAAACAAACTTTAATTATTTTAATTAGAAATTTGGAAAAAGTTTTTGCCAACTTCCTTCTTTATGCATTAGTGTCGGTCGGATTGGATTGTATTAAATTCGAATCTAATCTAATGAATTCAATATAATTTAAATTTAATATTTTAAAATTTATATTTAATTATTTAATGTATTGAGTTAGTCTGATTTAAGATGTGAGTTAAATTTTTAAAATTTTTAATTTATAGTAAAAAAGACATGTATACGGAATTTTTAACAAACAAAAATATGTATAATTTCAATAATGATTATTATAATTGACTATAATTTTAAATAATTTACTACTAAATTTTAATAAAACAATATGATTTTAAAATAAAATTTAAAATTTAAAATATATTTATAGATCTTAAAATATAAATTTGAGATTGAGTTGGATATTGATAAAATTCTAACATTTTTCACTTGTCAAATCTAACCCGATTCTATATTCAATTTTTTTTCGAATTTTTTCGGGTTTGATCAAATACAGTTTTTTTTTTTCTCAGTTCTATTATGTATGATAAAAAATATTAAAATGGATAATGGTGTAGTTAATCTACTTAATATTGCTTTGTAATCTTTTAAGAGCCGATAATCAAGGTTTTTAATTCATGGATTTTATTTTAATCCACCTTTATATTAATTAGAAAATTGATATAACCAATAGTTTCAAAATATTCTTCCTTGTATATTTGGATGGAATTTATTTATTAATACAACATCGTATAGAAGATTTTCGAAGTTTTGTACTATTCCATAAATTTCAACTAATAATAGAAAGTATACTACAAAGAATATGTGTCTAAGTTTTTTTCAATTTAAATTTTACATCTTTTAAGAGCAAGATATTAGCTCCCTTCTCAATAAATTTCCATTTGAAAGTGTTTGCCCAACCATGGTAAAAGTACTCTCACTATATATACATACATACACACACTCATATATATGTATATATAGGTTAACTTTTGTACTGGTGCTGCTTACCAAGAAGCATTGTTTCTCCTAATCAGTTTGTCATAAAAATGGGAAGGATGCCATGCTGTGAGAAGGTAGGGTTCAAGAAAGGACCATGGACTCCAGAAGAAGACAATAAGCTCCTTGCTTATGTTGAAAAACATGGCCATGGAAATTGGCGGTCAGTACCTGCCAAAGCAGGTAAGATACAACTTATCTGTACCTTTTTCTTTTTCTTGGATCCATGAGTCTAAATGTTCTTGGTCCACCGAGGAATAAATAATTCCTAATTTTCTGTTACCTACATGTATGATATATGTCTAGGTCTTGAAAGATGTGGAAAGAGTTGCAGATTGAGGTGGATTAACTATCTCAAACCTGATATAAAACGAGGAAACTTCAGCTCGGAGGAAGACCACACCATTATTCAACTCCATGCTCTTCTTGGAAACAAGTGACCTTTAGTTTCTTCTGGTTTTGTGATTTTTCTGTTGTTTGAACAGAAGCTAATCATGTTTTTGTATTGCAATATCACAGATGGTCAATCATAGCAGCTCATCTGCCTCAAAGAACGGACAATGAAATCAAGAATTATTGGAACACCAATGTCAAGAAAAGACTCATCAGAATGGGCTTAGATCCGCTCACTCACAAACCAATAAAAAGGAACAACTTTGAAGACTATGGCGGTGGTCATCATGAGCAGTCCAAGGACACCATGAACATGGATCACGTGGCTCAGTGGGAGAATGCTCGACTTGAAGCTGAAGCCAGAGGATCTATGTTGCAAGTTGAATCTCACTCCTCACATCACCCTCAGCTAATGTTGAGCAAAATCCCAACACAACTTTCTCCTTCCTCTTCAGATTCACTATCAATCAAACACAACACAGTATACAACATGTATGACCTTATACTTGCCACAAATCATGACCTTCCATCACCAGTATCCTCGTTCAGCGTCACCGGTTGGAAGCTTCCTTTAGTCTCTACCAATATTAAACTATTCACCGTCACCGGAACATCACTCTCTTCTGAGTCTGATTTTAATGTGTCTGAAACTAGTTTTCAAATGATAGAAGACCGTGTGTCAAACTTGCAAGATGATGACATCACCATGGCTCTGGAAGCATTTACAACCGCAAGATGTGAGAGTCTTCAAGAGTTGTTAAGGGGTTCCACACTGACATGGTAGGTCTAATCAGTGATTCCTTGGAAAAAGATGTGTAGAAGGGTATGGAACTGCAAAGTGCAATTCGCATAATTTGTCTGTTTTATGTTCCAAAAGAAGTGTGTGTGATTTTGACATCTGTTTTTGCTTTGGTCTCAATTTGATGTGTGCATGTTATGCGTTGTTAATTTATGAGGTTGATGTTTTTGCTTCAGCACTCTTGAACTTTAAGGTGCTGAAGGTTGTTTACGTATTGACAGAACTTATTTAGTATTCTCATGTTTTCGCACAAGTCTTGGAACATTCCTTTTGCTTACGATCTGGTTTCATTTACCTTTTACGAATTATTTCGCTTATAAAAACTAACTTATAGGTTATGTTATTTGTGTACATATCATCATATTCCCACCTAGTATATTATTTCACATATTAATAATTCAATCTCTAGGTCAACTCGAAGGATCACATTGTCTTCTATTGTAATAACATAACCCATTCCAAAAAGCCACAAAAAAAACTCTTAAAAATCTTTCAACAATGTTAATTAAGAAACAGACCTTCATAAACTTATCGAAGATTTCCTCTCTAGTTGCTTAATTTGTTTTGCATTTTGTTCAAAAGATATATGAGATGTGATCGAAAAGAATGATAAATAACTAAAAAATGATCATAATTAAATTATCTTTGCCTATATTGTAATTTATGAAGTTAATTAGTAAGTTCTAGGAACGCCACATAAATGGGAAAATATCTATAAATAAGTTGGTTGGTTCATAAATGTTTTAAGAAGTAGATAGAAAGGACGTTGAATATATTGGAAAGATATTGGAAAGCCATCTCCACGTGTGAACAACCAAAGTACCGTAAAGAAAATATGAATCATAATCTTCTCATGCTTTCTGGACACAATGGCACTACATTTACTGTAATTTTCGTGGGTAGGAATCGGACTTTATTCTAACCTCCATGCTACTAAAATGCTGGGAAAGACTCAGAAGGAGGACCAATTTGTGTCCACAAACTTTGTCATCCGACAAGCATCCCTGAGTTTTTGTTTTGGATTAAGACAGTGAAAATGAATGGATTTTAGAAGAAAAGAAAAATGAAAGTCAAGTTATTGAATTAGAAAAAGTATGAAACATAATTTATGAATGTTTGTAAATGATTTTATTATAAAATAACTTATTTTAATAAAAATATATTATAAAATGATTAAATTATATATATTTATGATAAAAATTATTATTATTATTTGTATTATTATTACTATTATTATTATTATTATTATTATTATTATTATTATTATTTACAACCATAAAGAGTGTCTCTTTTTATACCAGTTTGACCATTAACTTGTATAAAATGTCTCAATTTTTTTAATATCACATTTGTATGTACTACCTACCACATAAAGCTCACATAAAATTCATACCACAACAATTTAGAAGAGTCTAGATAACATAAAAAAGGAACAAAATAATGATTATACTTTCTACTATTTACACATCAAATAATATTATCAATAAGAAGCATTGAAGAGATTTTGATGATGATGATGCATTTTAAGTGTTGAAGAATAAATTTCATACTATGTTAAAACATTTTTGTTGTAGAATACTTGATAGTATGTTTTGATCTCATTAGTAAACCAAAAAAAGCATTGTAAATTGTTTTTTAGTATTGCTATCATGCGACAATAATCAATTACATCTTAAAATAATTGATTATCATGTGTAAAACCAGAAAACACTTCAATTCGACAATAATCGATTATCTCTCAGAATAATCGATTATCATCGAAAGATATGATTGACCAAGGTTCGACAATAATCAATTACCACTAAGGATAATCAATCATCATCGATTTTAAAACCTTTATAACGACCAACAATAATTGATTATCACTTTAGATAATCCATTATCACTAGTAGTTAGGAGCTGTCTTTTCAGTCACTGACCGAGCTTGAATCTATAAATAATGTTCTTCATTGTTCTTAAAAGCATACTTAAACTATAACAGAGTACAGAGAAAGTCTGAGGAAACTTTAAGTGTTTAAGAGAGCTTAATATTCAGTGCTTAAAGAAGGAGAAGCATTGCTTAATGTGTATGAGTTGGAATTGGTTATCTACCAAGTAGAATCAAGCTATTCATTCCCTTGTGTGTCGGAAAAAGGTGTTTTTATCATCTCTTATCAGTTAAGAGAGGTGTTTTATAATCCATCTTGTATTTATTCCAAATTGTATTTTGAACTACTTTTTAATGAAAAGTTAATCAGTCCTTTTAAAGTGTTTAACAACTAGACGTTGAATATTTTGATTCGAACCAGTATAAAAATTGCTTGTATGAATATTCTCATCCTTACTCAATTTTACTCATTCACTTTGAAGAAATTTTTAAAGAAAATCGAATTTTTAATAGACCATGCAGATTGTCCCTTTATCTAATGGAAACTTCATTGCTAGATGTGGAGTGGAGACAATTCCCCAAACACATTAAGGCACGATCGACGGAGTAATACATTGTCCCGACCAGTAAGTACCTGACGTAGTGAAGGTGTTGCCTTCTCTCCAGACTCCGCCTCTATGGGCTTCTGTCTTAACCTTTTATATCTTGTCTTTTAGGGTCACCACTGCTTTGTAGTGTGATCCATATTCTTGTGGTACAGACAATATTTTTGGCTTTTGCCCCCGAAGGAGTAGGTCTTCTTTTTGGCGCAACTATCAAGTCGGTACTCAATTCCTCCTACAAGATCTTCGCTCAGGGTGTGTTTGTTGGTACCAAATATACTTTTATTGAAAATAAAAGCTTTCAGAAATACAACAATCACTCTTTACTCTCACAGTGGTGCACACAGTCATCACAACTCACAATAACTTAACACTAACATACAATCCCACTCTTTACTTCTCTGGAATTTCACGCTACACACACCACACTCCTCTTTCTCTTTTT